ACTTAAGAACGGCTCGAGTTAAGAACATTTTGACTTAAGAACCACTCTCATAGGAAAATATTGACTTGACTTACATACTTAGATTTGAGTTAAGAACTGAAAAAAAAACCACGTGGGAGGCAGGGAAAGTGCAAAATTTGAACTTTCAGTTAACTGTTGGCCAGTGAAAAGGGTGCCTGCCTGCTTCCTCACTCCTCCCAGTGTTTAGAGAGTGGATTGGGAGTCTTCAGACTGCCTGGTACTGCCTGGACTGTATTTTCCTTGCCTTCCCTGAACCTTTCTTGACCTAAGAAAAAAAGAAACAAAATATCCCCCTCTAGTGGTCGAAGGCGGAATAGCAGCTTCCCATTAGTTTCTATGGACGGAAAAGAGCAGATACGGATCAAATGGTTCTCAATGCATTCCTATGGGAAATGCAGATTTGACCTGAGAACTTTTTGACTTGAGAACCGCCTTCCAATATGGATTAAGTTCTCAAGTCAAGACCCCACTGTAGTTCCATTGTTCTAGTTCTTATTTTTCATTGTGCTGTGTCTTATATTCGCTCCTGTTAGTTCACTGTCATCTAACCTTGTACTGATTTATCATTTTGATAAAAATAATGAAGATCATTTAAATCAACAAGTTCCTGAAAACTTTGATTTTTATCATTCCCTTTTTGGCACTTATTTCTATACAGTATTTTGAAAATGTAGACCTTTGTATTATGTAATTGTGTAAGCCACCTTTAGGCAAACTTTTGGACTCTATCATCTTTGGTTGTTGTGGGTTTCTTGGGCTCTTCAGCCGTGTTCTGAAGGTTGCTCTTCCTAAGGTTTCGCCAGTCTCTGTGGCTGGCATCTTCAGAGAACAGGAGTCAGAACTCTGTCTGTGCTCTGGTGCATTTGTTTGGATAGTTGAGTATTTATAGCTGTGGGATCAGCTTTTCTCCTTTTCAGGAAATGCAGATTTGACCTGAGAACTTTTTGACTTGAGAACCGCCTTCCAATACGGATTAAGTTCTCAAGTCAAGACCCCACTGTAGTTCCATTGTTCTAGTTCTTATTTTTCATTGTGCTGTGTCTTATATTCGCTCCTGTTAGTTCACTGTCATCTAACCTTGTACTGATTTATCATTTTGATAAAAATAATGAAGATCATTTAAATCAACAAGTTCCTGAAAACTTTGATTTTTATCATTCCCTTTTTGGCACTTATTTCTATACAGTATTTTGAAAATGTAGACCTTTGTATTATGTAATTGTGTAAGCCACCTTTAGGCAAACTTTTGGACTCTATCATCTTTGGTTGTTGTGGGTTTCTTGGGCTCTTCAGCCGTGTTCTGAAGGTTGCTCTTCCTAAGGTTTCGCCAGTCTCTGTGGCTGGCATCTTCAGAGAACAGGAGTCAGAACTCTGTCTGTGCTCTGGTGCATTTGTTTGGATAGTTGAGTATTTATAGCTGTGGGATCAGCTTTTCTCCTTTTCAGGAGATGGGTGATTGTGGTGATCAGTGTTTTTTGTTGTTGTTGTGAGTGTATTGTTGTGATAAGAGGGAGAGATTATCTGTCACTGTGATTAATGGGTATCATTAGCTGGTCTTTTGTGTGGAGTGATCACTGGTCCTTATTGCTTAGACTTCGTTGACCTTTTGCAGCCTTTGCTAGTGTGGGCCACAAATACAGGAGGGCTCAGAATAGTTGCTGTTCTGCTCTTTCCCATGTTTCTGAAAGACAGAGTTAAGAGAAAGTGTGTTGCATGTTTGTTTGTTTGTTTAGAATATTTTTACCCTGCCTTTCTCCTTAAAAAAGGACGCAAGGCAGCTTTCATAATTAAGAGACAATATTTAAACCTAAAAGCAGTGAGTATACAAATACTGAAAATGATCAAACTGATAGCATTCTGAGAAATGGTAAACAAAAGTAATATTAAAAACACATTCAAAGCAGTAAGATATAGCAATCCATTTAAAAATTCCACTCAGGCAACCAGTTACTGAGGGAAAGCTTGCCTGAAGAGAAAGGTCTACCTGTTTGCAGAAGGACAGCAAAAATGGGGCCAGTCTGGCCTCCTGTTGGAGGGATTTCCAGAGTCTGGGAGCAGCAACAGAAAAGGTCCTCTTCTGTGCCCCCACCAAACACACTTGTGAAGAGAAAGACTTCTCCTGATGATCTTAACACCCAAGCAGGCTCATAATGAGAGACACGTTACAGTAATCCAGCCAGGATGTAACTAAGGCATATTTTACTGTGGACAGATAAGACCTCTCCAGAAATGGGCCTAGCTGGCACACTAATTTCAATTGTGCAAGTGCACTCCTGGCCACTGTTGAAACCTGGGCATCCAGGCTCAGACATGAATCCAGGAGTGTCCCTAAGCAGCACAGCTCTGCTCTTGTTTACTGTAAATCAGACATTGGTGTTATTGCCCTGCAGTTTCATTCTCTTGGTAGTTTTCTGCCTCATTTCTATGCCAAGCTACTGCTTAAATTATCTTGAAAAAAATAATTTCAATCAAAAAGTTGTTTTCTCCATTTGTTAGTGCCTGGTTTATACCCATTTGTCAAAAGAAGTGCAAATTCTGATGTGTCACTGGTTCAAAAAATCTGTTACGCAAGGCTAGTGATATAGTTTGCACTGGCATATTTACAATACCATAACAAATGTTTTTCTTTCTTTTTGTATAGATTTAACACATGGGTGTGGAGCGCCCCATACTCCATTGAGTGAAAGACCCTTTTTTCACCTGGGCCACAACTATGTACACTTACAGAAAGGACTAAAGTTGCTTTGCAGTGACTTTGGTGGTTTGACATTATATAAGCCCTGGTGCAGTTTTTAAAAGTGGACATTGGCACCATTTTTAAACTGCACAAGGACTTCCGTCTTGAATGGCCAGTGCTGGGAGGCTTCTCAGCTACTAACAGCACCAGGGGCAAGGCTCATCATCCAGGATGTGTGAGATAGACAGTTTTGCAGCCGTTTTCAGATAAGCTGCCGTAAAATACTTTCTGCAGGTTATCTGAAACATGTAGTTCCTACCATTGTTACCTAGTTCGGGTGGGAAGTCCAAGAAAAGGAGATTAGCGTGGTGCAGCACAGTTTTATTGAAGCCAAAAGATACATGCTAGTAGGGTTGCCAGACGTCCAGCAAAAGGAGGACATGTCCTCCTTTTTAGGAGCATGTCCTCCATCCGGCAGGCAATACTAAAAAACTCTAAAATGTCCGGCTTTTGTATCACCACCCCACCCCTCCCTCTCCCCCACCCCCTGCAGCCAAGCCTCTCCCTGTTAGTTCCTTGGTTGAGGCCCTTGTAAATCCTCCGGTTCTTTCAGAGAGATCAGAGGGAGATATGGTGGCTTGATTGTTTAGGGCTGTTCCAGCCCTGAGCAATCAATCCCCGGCTTGTGGATGGCTGCTCCTGCCCAGAGCTGAATAAGGCAGGAAGGAGCGAGAGAGATGGATGGATAGAAACGGACAGGAGTGAAGTGAGTGTGTACTTGCTTGCCTGCTGGAGGGGAGGCTGTTCTGGGATTTGGGGTGGTGGTTGTTCAAAGCCAGGGAAATAGGGGCCGGGCCGGTCCCTCCTTCCTCCTAAAGCCAGGGAACAGGAGGCACTTTTATCCCCCCCTTCTGCCCTGACACACACACACCTGACCCTGGGGCATGTGCAGAGTGTGTTTCCAGGTTCAGGAGCATATGAGGAGTTATTCCCTGTGCTTGTGGGAGCTGGAACACACGCATACACACACACAACCGGATTTCTCTCAGCTTGAAAAATTGCAAAGGGTAGAGAAAATGGCTTTGTGTGTGTGTATGTAAATTCATTTTCTCCACCCTTTTCATTTCTCAAGCTGAGTGAAATCCACGCCTTGTTTTTTTCCTGATTTTGATAAAGTGTTTCAAATCTGTCAAGCAACTTTTTAAACTTATTATTTCACTTTATTATGCTTTTATTAAAATAAAAAAATCAATAAATAAAACAAGGGGGATGGGTCTCCATTAAAGGAAGGAATAGATTGTCTCCATTGGTCCTGGGAGCCCAGTAAGTGTATATGTAGATTTGTTTTGTTTTTATTGTAAAACATTTTTAAAAACACGAAAACACTGTGGCCAGTGGATTCTGAGTTTTGCAGTCCAAAAAATGTAACTTTCCCAGTCTTAACCTTTCAAGACTGAGTAGGTTGAATGGCTATGGTATTGCCCCATGATCAAAGAACTATTCTCCCTAATACCTAATTCCAAAAGTGACATGCCTCCTACCCTACCCCACCCCGTGCGCAGAGCCCCCCCAATATATCCTTTGTCCTCCTTTTTGGCTTTCTATGACTCCTTTTCGTACACATGACTCTAGCAACCCTACATGCTAGTAGCTATGCTCTAAAGGTGAGCAAAAGTCCCTAACAAAGACAACAACAGACATTTATACCTTAGCTTATCAGTTTCTTATGCTAAAGAGCTCAGGGGGCGTCTTGGAGGCGTGTTGGGCGAGGCCTGGAGAGCAGAGTTTGACAAGTTTTAGGACAGTACTGGCCATCCTTTATAAGAACATTGCATTGTCCAGGCCTGCCAAAATAACAAGGAGGCCCCTCTATCTTTTCCTACATACTACACAAAAGCATTAAGGAATGCCAGAAATATATACACATGTATGTTGGCATGGCGAGAGGCGAGCAACAAAGGCACAATACTTTTGCAATACAAAGCGCTCACGTAAGACTGGCAGTTTTCTTGGGAAATGTACAGCAATGATTACAGTAATACAAATTAATAAATGTAGACTGACACCATGGTTACATTTGTTTATTCATGTGCAGGTATGAAAAGTAGGCATAAGTAATATTGCTTTTTGTAGTACTTACAGCATCTGCATAGAAAGGCTTGAATGTTTCTTCAGATCTTCCATCCCATCTCTTTTTTAAAAGGCTTCTTATATTAATCATGACCTAGCTCCAGAAGGGTTGTAAAACTGTGGCTGTTAATATTTTCAGTCTTCACTCTAATTCTGTTCTTGCCTTACACAGTGACCTTGAACCCGAATGGCTGGATAGTGTACAGAGAAATGGAGAATTGTTTTACCTTGAACTGAGTGAAGATGAGGAAGAAACCGTCCTTCCTGATAGCTCTCTAAATGTGCCTGTGGTGAACCACGTCAGATTTTGTGAAAATGAAGCTGAGGTTATTCACATGGGATCTGAAAAAGGTAGAAAGAATAAATGTAGACTGGAGAAATTCACTAAAATATTGCAAAATAACAGCCTTTTACCAAAACAATCTGGTAAGAAGAAAGCAAGTGTGAAACATGATGTCCATGCTTCTCACCCAGCATCCATACTGAAGCACAGTTCAAGTCAGAAAATGGGAGATGTAGCCCAGCATCGATATAAAGATGTCTCAATTTATGTAAATCCAAAGAAACTATCAAATGTTGAAACTGGAGAACAAGTGAAGCTTCTTGAATCATTAATAGGGATTATCCATCAGTCTCCATGGAGAAAAGATGAAAAATGTAGATACAGTTCTAATGAAGAGAAACTTATTGTACATGGCTTGATCCCAGGCAGTTCAGCAATAAAGTCTGGTCATATCCTGATTGGTAAGTGCCACAATTTATCCTGCTTTGGCCATGCCTATATTGTAGTGTTTTTGTAGTTATGTAATACTTGTGTGGTGGTATTAGATAGTTTTGTCAGTACCTGCATTGTGGGAAGTGAAAGGCATAATTTTGGTTCAGATGATAGTCTTCTAGTTTACCGACATGAAGACATTGCATTTGAAATTACTTTGCACAATGATATGCAAGTTACAAACAGAATATTTGTTCATAATATTACCTGAAATTGTCATGAGTAGAAATCTTTTCTCCATGAACACACATTTAGTAGTACAGTGGTGCCCCGCATAGCGAGGTTAATCCGTTCTGGATTAACCCTCGCTGTGTGAAATTGTCGCTAAATGGAATGTAAAAGCCCATTGGAACACATTAAACATCGTTTAATGTGTTCCAATGGGCCCTAAACTTACCGTTCAGCGAAGTTTCCTCCATAGCGGCAGCCATTTTCGCGCCCTCGGTAAGCGAGGGGAGGGCGCGAAAACACTGCGCGCGGCCATTTCGGGCGTCCGGCGGCCATTTTGGAACCGACTCTGTGGGAGGCTTGGGGGGGCGGCGGCAAGAGGAGGAGAAGAGGGAAAGTGGGGGGGAGGATGCGTGAGCACGCAGCTTCCCTCCCTTTGCCTGCCTGCCTCTCCGCCTGCCTTCCTCCCCGGGGGCGTCAGGAGAAGGACGAGGAGGAAGAGGGAAAGCGGGGGTGGCAGGCGAGCAAGTGAGCGCCGTTTCCCTCCCTCCATCTGCCTGCCTGCCCGCCTGCGTTTCTCCCCGCCAGCGGCAGGAGAGGGAGGAGGAGGAAGAGGGAAAGCGGACAAGGACAAGTAGGAAGAGGGAAAGCGGAGGTGGCGGGCAAACGAGTGAGCGTCGTTTCCCTCCCTCCATCTGCCTGCCTGCCTTGCCCGCCTGCGTTCCTCCCCGGCCAGGGCGGCCCCGCATCATTCTCGCGGCGGCGGCGGCTCCTTCCTGGCACCCGTTTTCAGTAAGCAAGTTTTTTCCATAGGGACTGACGCTATGCCTCCGCATTAGCGGTCCCGGAAAAGGGATCGCTATGCGGATTCGTCGTTATACAGTGCGCTCGTTATGCGAGGCAGCACTGTAATTTTCAAGCACCTGGATACATTGCAGTAGTATAACTGTGATGAAAGTTAATAGCACAAGAAATCGTGTCCCTGTCAGTTGTATCAGGCAGATAGCTTAGAGATGATAACCCAGGAAGGATTTTAGCTAATACTGTGAATGGGCAGACTGCTATTAGTTATGCATTTGTTACACATATTACATATATT